TTTCATCGCGCTGTGATGACGTCACATACGCGCTTTCGTCGAGCGCTCTTTAGTCTACCGCGGATTTGTGGTGGAACCGAAAAATAGGAGCCATCTTTGATGGGAAGGTAACAGCGTTCCGTGCGCCTTCAGTGTTGAGTCATGCCGGCCACAGGAGCACGGAGACATCTTTGGACAGCACTGGCTCTTTGGCTTTGAAACGAAGATGAGCATTTCCCCCTAGAGTCGGGAACGGCTAGCACATGTGTGTGAGGGGAACCTTTACCTTTAAGGCTGCCTCTGCAACCCCCATTCCCAAAAGAAGCAGGGGGCCTTGAGGTGTGTGTGTATGAGACATCCTTGAGGGTCCACCCTGAGGGCTTCAGCTACCTTTCCACAAGGCTAAACGTGGGCCCTTCTGCCCCTTTTCCTCCACAGGCTGCCTGATGGCCCAGCAAGGGTCAATTTTTGTTTCCCTGCCTTTTGTAGGGTAAGCAGAGTAGTGGCCTCTCTTTCCTTTTCCTGGCAGAATAGTTGCAGTGGTGCTTTTCTTCTCTCTCTCTTTCAGCTCTTCTTGACTTCTCTTGTCAGAGGGCCCAACGGCTCTGAGCTGCTGCTGCTTCCTTCCTTTCTTCCTTCCTTCCTCACCAGGCCCCACGCTGGACAGTGCATCCATTCATAGGCAGATGAAACTCACCCACTGGGGTCCCCTTATAGGAGAGGCTTATAGGAGAGTTATTCAGAAGAGCAGCAAGAAATAGGAAGGCAAGGAAAAGTTGCAGTATCAAATAGGAAGAAAAGATGGCAGTTAAAAGCTTGTGTGCACCAACAGTCTTTGCTGGGCCTCCCCTTTGAGGTGGCCAGGCCTCTTCCCAGCCAGCCTGTGGCTAGTCAGCATCCCTGGCCTCCCGCAGGGAAGGACAACAGTTAGGGGATCTGCCTGGGGTACCCGAGCTTTCCAGCTGGGCTGGGCTATTTTCTCAGCAGGAGAGCAGATGATCCTGGCACAGCCCTTGTTGAGGGTGATGGGCGACTTTGCCCTTTGGCAGCCGAGGGCACCAGCAGAGGAAGAGGCCTTGGAAGGGATTCGGCGCCTGTGGGAGAGGAAGAGGAGAACCGGGCAAGGCCAGACATGGGTGCAAGCGAACATTTGGGCTTTCCCAGTGGAGAGAAGGAAGGCTTTTCTGCCCTCGTTGCGTCTCAGATGATGATACAGATGCTCAGTTTCAGCCTGGAAGAAGGAAGGGGGCGGAGGATGTTTCTTAGGAGAGGGTCGGGGTATTGCGGTCGTAACAGGGAGGGGCAGATACGGCGGGGACTTTAGGGCAGGCCATTACCGGGGAAGGAGGGTTCGCTACATTGCAGAGATCCCTCCTTCCGGCCCTGGGAG